CCTGGAAGAGAACCCTAAACAGACCCAGGTGTCTCCTCCCTACTTCCCAGCAAAGTTGACTCTTCACTCCCTTTGTTTTCTGATGAGCAAACCCAATATTCCCAAGGGGTTTCCCAGCATCCACATCCTGTATCTCAGCTAGACTGGAGTCCTAGAGCCCTGAAGGAAGGGACATTATCTAAAAGCGATGGGGGAATGGAAATCAACATAATCCCCTCTTTAAAGATTTGCTAAGCACTTTCTCTGCACAAGGTCCCAGGATTACAACGAAAAAAACATATATATCTTCCCTGCCCCCAAGGTTGTCGCTGGACAAGTACTCAGGAAATGTGGTCTAAGAAGGTAAGTGCTACCCTTAGGATTACCGATTCTCTGTGGAATCTTAATAGAACTCAGCCAAGGAGGAAATCAGTCTCACCCAAAGGATGTATGTGGTGTTGTAGGATAAGCATTGGACTGCAAGGTCAGTTTGAACAGCAAAGTTGGTGGTTCAAACTCACCAGCCGCTCCTCAGAAACTCTATACAGGGTCGCTATAAATTGGATAGCACTAAGCAACACCAGGTAGCGTAGTGGTTACGAATCGGGCTGCGAACCTTAAGGTCAGCGGTTCGAAACTACCAGGTGCTCCGCGGGAGAAAGATGAGGCTTTCTACTCCCGTAAAGATTTACACCCTCGGAAACCCTATACAGGGTCGCTATGGGTCGGAACCGACTCGATGGCACATAACAACAACAACAAAGCAACACCAGAGAGATGTGAGCGTGCAAAAAAAAGCCCAGGCTGGAGAAAGTGGAGCCTGGTGTGTTGGGGGGTGGGGGTGGGGGTGCAGTCAACAAAGCTGGAGATGGAGCAGCGAGTCTTGGAAACAATCTAGGCTGAGAATTTTGGATTCATCTCGAAAGCAGTGGGAACCACTGAAGATATTAGAAAGCCAAGAGAAGCTTGGCAGCTGGCTGGCAGGACTCTGACAGGCAGTCTTTTGGAATATCACTTATATATGAATTCCCCAAGACACAAAACCGCACACAGCCACATCAGGACTTTAGTGAAACAATAGCTCAAATCCAGTGAGCACTTAGTATGTGTAAGGTGCTATTCTCAGCATTTTGCATATACAAACTCAGTCCTCATACCAACACTAGGAAGGTTCACACTATGATCTGCCCTTATTTTGCAAATAAGGCAATTGAGGCACTGTTGGAGACGTAACACAGATATTGGTCCAGATGGCATTCAGTCTTCTAAGTCAATCAATATACAGGGATACCTCCTATAATCTGATCCCAGCCTATCTCTCCACCACATGTCTTGACCTTCCGGAAAGGGGCCTTCTCCACCTAGGGCAGCCCCTCCCAGGAGACTGGACCCCTGCCAACCATGCAGGTCTTTGCTGGGCTCCCTCCTCAAATCCAGGCTCACTTGGGCCTCGTGAGGTTAGCATTGGGACTTATATATTTTTCAGAGGTATAGATTCTCCCCAACTACATTGGGATTCCCAGAACTGTAGAATTGTTTTTCCTGCTGACTCCCAACATCCCCCTCATCCCAAAGAACCCTCAGAGGACTATAATCTTCATAGAATGCTAATCACAGCCACACCTTTATCACACACTGTGGCTCATCGCTTGGAGTTTCCAAGGTCTGTTTCCGTGACAGGTTCCCTGCAGGATTCTCCCAGCTCCTCTGTCTTCCTTCCCAGCACTCAGCCTATGCCTGGCAGAGGCTGCACTCAGTGAGGTCCCTGGAATGGATGAATGAACCAACGGACTGTGTTAGAGCAGTGTAATTTACAAAGCACTCTCGCATCCATTAACTCCAAAGCTACTCCTTATGAGTCTTCCTCATCCTTCCACACGGTTCAGCACAGATGCGGACGATCAGTGTATAGCCTGTAAGACTCAATGGACAGTGAAGGCAGGAAACGGGTTGCCGTCAATCAGGCGAGGGAATCCTTTCCCTGTGACTTTAAGCATCTGGAGGGCATAGGTTGAACCCTTCTTGTCCACATCTCTTAACGCCTGCTGTGGCTATGGCTGTGTGCCGTGGAGTCGGTTCTGACCCATAGCGACCCTGTACAGGGTTTTCGAGGCTGTAAATCTTTACGGGAGCAGAAAGTCTCATCTTTCTCCGGCAGAACAGCTGGTAGTTTCAAATTGCTGACCTTGCGGTTCGCAGGCTCATAACCACTACGCTGCCAGAGCTTGCTACACTGTGAAAAAAAGTTCTTCTCTGACGCTCCCAGCTCCCCCACGGGTGTCAGAGGAGAGCTGTGCTCCACAGTGTTTTTAACAGCTGAGATCTTTCAAAATCAGATTGTCCAGTACTTCTTCCCAGGCGTTGCTGGGTGCCCAACCTAGGGATCCCTGTTACATAGTTGTTACATAGTTGTTACATAGTTGTTACTTAGTTGTTACACAGTGGGTACATAGTTGCCATCTACTTGATTCCCAACTCATTGTGACCTCATGTGTGCAGAGTAGAAGTAGGACTGAGACATAATGTTTTCAAAGCTCTGCAATCTTTGGGAAGCTGATCCCCAGACCTATTTTCTGTGGTGCCTCTGGGTGGGTTCAAACCATTAAGTTTCCAACTAGTGGTGGTGGTGTTCCTTGGAGTCGGTTCTGATGCGAAGCTGCATAGGGGTTCTGAAGCTGTAAATCTTTACCGGAGTAAAAAGCCTCGTTTTTCAAACCCAGCAACACAGCTGGCAGTTTCAAACTGCTGACCTTGAGGTTAGTAGCCCATCTTGTAACCATGATGCTACCAGAGTTCCTTTTGAGTAGTAGTCAAGGGCATAGCCATTTATACCACCCAGAGATTCCTGCTACCTAGTCGTTTTATTAGATGCTGTCAAGTCGGCTCTGACTCATAACGACCTTACACACACAACAGGATCCAAACCTGCCCAGTCCTGTACCATCCTCAAAGGCGTTATGTTCGAGCCATCTCATCAGGAGTCTTGCTCTTTTTCACTGACCTTCCACTTTACCAAGCATGATGTTTTTCTCCAGCGATTGGTCCTTCCTGATAGCATGTCCAAAGTACGAGAGACAAGTTACACCATCCTTGCTTCTAAGGTACCGTCGAGTCACTTCCGACTCATAGTGACCTCAAGTATAGCAGAAAGGACCGGTGCCCAAGCTTGCTCCACTTTTATCATCGTTATGTCTGACTCTCTTGTTGCTGCCGCTATGTCACTCCATCTTGGTGGGGGTCGGCAGAGCTTAATAAATAGTTGCATGCTATGTTGGCACTACAGGATAAATACTGGACTGGCAATTGAAACGCACCAGCCACTTTCGGAAAGTCTATTGCAGGGTCACTATGAGTCAGAAGGACTGGCCATAACAACAACAACAACATGTTGGATAAACTAGTCACCCCCTCTGCAGAAGTAGACAGAACTGACTAGACTTCCTCCTCAGAGCTCCTACTCTACAGCCCAAAGGGAGAACTGGGCTGAATTAGAATCACTTCTGCTTCTGTTTCTATGACACTTTGACTTGTAAAATGCTGGGCTGTTGGTATTTTAATCTCAATCTCTGATGGGAAAAGGTTTTATTCCTATTTCATGGTGGGTCAAACTGAAACCCAAAGCGGAAGGGTGTCCTGCCCCCAAACCCACTGAGTTGCCCAACATCTCTGGGAGGAGAGGTGGGGGGCAGAGTGAGAATACAGTAACAAAGGAGGCGAAGTGAAGTGCCTACTGACTCCCCAAGAAGCAAAGAGAAGCAGCAGGTCTCTGAACTCTAAAACCCCAACTGTTGCCAGCATGGTCCCCCACTTCCTCCCACTGCATAATTTTCAGCCCAAAGCCCACAGCTGCTGTGTCCTATGAAGCAACCCCACAAGAGCCACCTAGCTAGCTCTCAGGTGTCTCCAGAGCCCTGCTCCCTGTTTGGGGGACATACTGCAAAGTCCTCCATTCCTTCTAAAACTGGTTATGGGTTCTCCAAGCCCCAAACAATCATTCGTTGACAACATGACCAGGGTCAAAACAATTTTTGATCCCAATCACCTCTCTTTGGCTTCCTAGGAGTGATTCCAAACCAAACCCTATGCCACCCAGTGCATTCCCATTCACAGGGACCCTATAGGACAGAACAGAACTGGCCCATACGGAGTCCTGGTGTGGCACTGTAAGATAAGCATGAGACCACAAGGTTGATTTGAACTGCAACGTGACAGTTCACACCACCAGCCACTCCTCGGAAACCAAGTGCATCGATGGCACTTAAAAACGCTGGGCTGTATCGAATTGAATTGCATCCATCAGCTGTCCTGCAGGAGACTTTCAACTCCTCAGGAAAACCCTGGCACCCACTCAGTGGCACACAACAATGGCAAATCTTTACTGGAGCAGACTGTCAGTCCCCACAGAGGCACTGTTGTTGTTGTTGTTATGTGTCGTGGAGTCGGTTCGAACTCATAGCGACCCTGTACAGGGTTTCAGAGGCTGTAAAATCTTTACAGGAGCAGAAAGTCTCATCTTTTTCCCTCGGAACAGCTGGTAGTTTCGAACTGCTGACCTTGAGATTAGCAGCCCAATTCGTAACCATTGGTGGGCTCAAATCAGCAACTATTTGTTTAGCAGCCTAATGCTTAATCACTGCATAACCTCGGAAGTGATTGTTGTTGAGGGCCTTAGAGTCAGTTCAGACGCATAGCGTCCCTGTATAGTTTCTGAGAACAGCTGGTGGATTTGAACTGCCGACCTTGTGGTAACCAGTCCAGTGCTTATCCTACAGCGCCACACCTGGGCTCTTGGGAGTGACTAGACCCTCACATTCAAGAGTTTCTGGGCCACTCGAAGAGGGCTGAAGCCCTGAAAACTGCTTTCTGAAAATGCTCCCCGGCAGGCGTTTTCATCCCAAATTTGAGCCCAGGTGACTTATATTCCCCTCTCCAGGCACCCGAGTCCCTTCTTCAGCTTCTGAACCAGGCATTCCCGCCTGCCCTTGGGTTCCAATTTCAGAATGGGGCGCGCAGCCCCAAACTGGATTCCACTTTCGGGGATCCGAGCGCCCTCTAGCGGACGCGAATCGCGGGGTGGGGCCACGCTCACCCTCCGGCGGCCGGCAGCACAGACAGCACCTGACGGTACCCACGCCGGACCACACAGGTTTGGAGACCGACTGAGTGGAAGCGATTTTGCGGGGTGGGGTGGCAATGGAGGGTAGCACTCGTGTCTCTCGGCAAAGAACATGGCAGTGGGCCGATTGGACGAGGCCGGGCAGCTGCCACGTAGGCTGAGCTGCCTCCATCCCTGGGGCCTCGCCTCGTGGACGTGCCCACAGGTGACGGTCGCCAGCTCCCAGGACGGATCCCAACCCACTGGTCCCTGGCTATGGGCTGTCCCCAGTTCCCCGTCGGCCAGCCCAGGTCGCCTGGGGCGGCGATCGGAGCTCGTGCGGGCCCGAGTGGGGGCGGGGAGATGTCCCCGCGGGGTCCGAGAAAAAGGAAGGGGGACCCAAGAGCTGGTCCCTCTCGGCCTCCCAGAACTGCCCGCGCTCCGGGCGCGGCGCCCCCGCCTCTGCCAGAAACTCGGCTTC